AATAATGGTTTAGCAGACTATTATTTTTTAGAGAATTGTATTTCTGCTCTGACTTCCTCATTTTGACCTTTGAGGTCAGATGCAGGAAAACAAAGGAAGTCGATTTTGATTGGTTTAATCTGGCATGGGAATGATAGATAGAGAAAAGGATTTCAGGGAGTTGGTTCTTACGCGTCGAACAATGTCAACGTGTGAATTTTGTGTCTGGAGACTGCTCCCCAGTGGTGTGGGATAGCAACCTCACTGGCTATTTAGAAATGTACACGTTGATGTGCTGAATAAAATAGATAAGTTTAAAATCCCTTTTGTCGAAGTTCTCTTTTATCTCTGAAGAAAACAACTGGCGATCACGGACTGTGAGAGAGAGAAGGCAACGTCAATATGAATGAGTCAAGACCGTCGCCCCAAGGCAAACCCTCACCAAGGGTCTATGCAACACTACCAAATGATACTGAGAATATCATGGACGGAACATGTGAACAAGGAGGAAAATGGAAACAATAAGGACACTTCTACATAGAATCAGGGTTGAATGTTCTAGGGTAATGAGAAAAGAGGTCTTGGATAATTCAACATTCACTGAAAATAGTGAAGTCAATAGAGAGAGGCAGAGGAAATCGGGGTTTAGGTGAGATAGTAAAAAGAGACATTTTACTGAGAGCTAAAGGACAGGATGTTGTGGCGAGACATGGACCTTGTATACCTTAGAAAGGACCATTCTTCTTCGAACATTGTCGATGTTGTTATTCATCATGACGGTCGTCTTCAAGTATAGAATCCAGAGGTTAGCAGTGAATATTTCGAAGACAGTAGGAAAGCGTTGTTCAGGTTAGCAGTGGATATTTTGGTAAAAGGTAGCAGAGCATAGTTCGTCCTTCTGTTTCTCTTCGCCTGACAAGCTGGACTGGACATTCGGGTAGAGTGAACAAAAATGGCCGCCTTTATACACGACGGATTGAATGTTCTACGTCTTCTGATTGGTTAACTTTCTATTGGTGGACTATAAAGGGAGTTAAGTCATTTTGACTGGCTCACTAGTTATATAATATATACATAAAACTGCAACAGATGTCGCTACAGAATCACAGGCAAAGCACTTTACCAAATAAAAGAAACCGTATCACTTGAGGACTTTCAACAGTAGTAACAGCTAAAACGGATAGCTCGAAGAGAAAATAATGAAATATTCACGGTGCAGACATTCAACAATAATTCAAATAAAAAGTTAGGAAAGGAACTCCTGTACTTCAGCAATAGTGGAAAAACGAAAACAGTGTAATTGAAAATCCTAAAAAATATATTTTTAATCGAAGTATTTCGCAAACATTTTAACCAACACCGGTTGTTTGGTCAATGAATGCCGAATGTATTCATATAAGAAAATAAGTTATCATAGCTATTTTTGTAGATATCAAATTAAAGCATAACAAAACTCATAACTCCACTATCGTATTTATTTACAACTTGAATAACAACACCCAAATTGCACCAATAAATAAGTGTATATTTTTAATACAAACTGCTAATCAGAAATTCCCCATATATTTATTTAAATATAGATATATCCTGAAAATCTTAATATTTATGATATATACCATTTTATTATTAAAACATTAATTTCAATGATAGATGGATTGATCTTAGATAAATACATAGATAAAATGACTGCTCTATATGAATAAATATATGTGTGCGCGAAATACATATATATATATCCTTCTATCTCAGTCTGTTTATATCTATCTATTCTTCGCATTCACTTTATATGTAGCTATCTATTTATCTATCCATTTATCTCAATCTGCTCATTATCTATCGATATATCTGTCAGTGTCTCTTCATATCTATCTATCTCAGTATATTTTCATCGATCTATCTATTCATCGCATTCACTTCATATGTAATCTAACTCTTTATCTCAGTCTGCTTAATATAATGTTGAGAGATAGTGATAACAGTTTAATTAAAAAAACATTTTACCAAAACTATTTTTAATCGAAGTATTTTACAAACATTTTAACCAACACCGGTTAATAGAACAATCAAACGAAGGTTGGTAATGATCGCTGATACTTAGGACAAGAACAAAGCATATAAGATTCGCCAGCGGCGCGTAGAAGAAGTAGTCAACTGCTAGAAGTAAGTTAAGTGAATTCCACAAAGAATCTCCAACTGCAGGATATCTATAAACTGCCCCACGAGGCCATATGTGGTACAAGGCCGATTTTAATGTGTGGTATCCGAGCGAGTAGGCCCGGTCAAAAATTCCCCGTAGAACCCGTATAAAACGGGGTCGGGTAGCTGTTTCCTGATACGATAATCTGCCCTTCAACATAGCCTCGTCTGAGAATCCTCTCTGCCCGGAAACGAATTTTCAAACGCAGACCAACATACAGCATTTACTACTGTAGTTATGTGAATGGAGACATAGCCATTATCGTCCGTATGTATGCTACCACACTTTCTCAGTCTATGTACATCAATCTATCTATTTATCGCATTCACTTCATATGTATCTATATAACTTTTTGTCTCAGCCTGCTTAATTATGTGTTGAGAAAAAATGATAATAGTGTAATTGAAAAAAAAAACACTTTACTAAAAAATATTTTTAATCGAAGTATTTTACAAACATTTTAACCAACACCGGTTAATAGAACAATCAAACGAAGGTTGGTAATGATCGCTGATACTTAGGACAAGAACAAAGCATATAAGATTCGCCAGCGGCGCGTAGAAGTAGTTAACTGCTAGAAGTGAGTTAAGTAAATTCCACAATGAATCTCCAACTGCTGGATATCTACCAACCGCCCCAAGCGGTCAGATGTGGCACAAGACCGAATTTAATGTGTGGTATCCGAGCCCATAGGCTCGGCCAAAATTTCCCCCTAGACGCCGGTCGGGTAGCTGTTTCCCGAGACGAGACTCTGCCCTTTGAGATAGCCTAGTCTGGGGATCCTCTCTGTCCGGAGACAGAATATGACCACCACAGCTGGAGACAAATCTCCAACTGCAAACCAACATACAGTATTTACTACTGTATTTAATGTGAATGGTGACATATCCCATTATAGTCTGTAGGTATGCTACAACAAAATTAAAGCATAAAAAAACTCATAACTATACTATTATATTTATTTACAATTTCAGGAACAGCACCCTAATTGCAAAGAAATGCGCATTGTGCTGAAGAACAAGCAGCTGGAGACCTGCATTCATTCATCCTGATCATTGCCTTCAGTATCGCGAGAAGCATCGCGTTGCTAATTGTGATACATAGAAGAAGAGATTAAATACAAGACCTACTAGTTTTTGTGTTAGAATATCGTAAGGATTTATAACATGCGTAACAATTATGAAGATGTCTTGCAAAATGTGTTTGTTGAAAAGAGCATGCAAGCAAGAAAGGTGTTCTTCCTCACCTTAATTCTTCATTGTGGTTTGCGTAACTAGCCGAAGGCAGGGCGAGTTGAAGTAAGAATGCGAAATTATATTTCACTACGTTTAGGAACAATTCGAAAATTCAAGTCATGATCTTAGATAGTCTATATCGATCGAGACATTCTTATGGATGTCATGCATAGGGACAAACTCATTCAGAAATATCTAAACTGTCTCCGGTATACAACCGCTTTATAAGATCAATGGTTAAAAATGGCTCCGTTTCCTGGGTCAAACCAGCCCTCTTCGAAACTTGTGAACTGGCGCTTCGGAATCATAAACCAAGTTCCGTACTAAATAACAGAATCCAGATTACTTCAGGAATATCGATAACAATAACAACTAAAATTGACAGTACATTTAACTCAAAGAGAAAACAATGACATAATTAAGATGATGACTTTTTACACTACTGCAAACAAAAAAGTAGGAAGTAAACTCCCATAGATACTGAAAACAATAGTAACCTGGTGTCAGTTATCTGCCATACAGGCTTAGGCGATCATGTATCTTTCGATACATGACTGATAGGCAGATTTTTCCCGCAGTAAGTTAACATTTCCTTCTACGGTAGACCAGTTGCCATCTAAGACTATAATAACCCTGTCTGTCTTGTTATTTATCCATAGCTGAGCCGCTAACCATTACTCCACCGTGCCTCTACAGGAACTTACCTTCCTGAAAAATTGTTTTAAGAGAAAGATTTTATAAAGTTCAGGCAGCAGCAGTACTGGCTGCTTGGTTAGTGAATGCTGGATATTTCCTTATAAGGAAACCCCTAATATTATCCTTACAATTAAAAAGAAATTATGCCAATAATAATGAAAGATATTTAAAATCAGCTCTATAAGTTCAGAACGGCTTATTTTATACCGTTTTTCCTTGTGAAAACTTCTTATAATTCTCTTTCTTAATATCGACAATAGATTATTTTCTTCAATGGTTACAAAAAGAGATACTTTTATTCAGTGTTTAAAGATATCAAAAAACAAATATTGGAATAGTTTGTGCTGAAGGTAGGTGTGTGCCTAATTTTGATAATAAATTCGGGAGTAGAGAGAGCGTCTATGTGCATTGTTGATGTAGAAGATGGTCAATTCTTTACCCAATAGATAGATAGATAGATAGATAGATAGATAGGAACAGACATAGAAAGGAAGTAGAGAGGGAGACGCTATGTGAGTGCATGGTTGATGTACAGGGAAATGCCTGCAATAAAGTGAGAATGGGTTTGAGGATAAGGGCTACAACTACAAAGGAGCAGATAAAGTTCTCCAATTCGTCGAACTCCAGCAGATTGTGTAAAAAAGCCACTGTTGGCCAGAAAAGGTGTAATTTCGTAATAAATTCATGACTGCTCGAGGCGGCTTGTTGGCCGTAACCAATTTAATTACTTCATATCACTTTGAAATTAGCTGCCAGAAAAACTAAGAACTGTACAACATTTGGCGAAGCAATGCAGGCGAAGCTGTCAAAAGAGACGTTAATTCCAATGAAATCTAATTGAACAGGAAGTACGACAATGTGGACATATATTCTCACACTTTCAAGCTAACAAAATGCCTTGCAAACTGTCCCCTACCCACTCGCACCAATATGTCCCCTACCCACTCGCACGTATATATATATATATATATATATATATATATATATATTTTCCTGCCTAAATAAAACTATTTAATATGAATATTTCACGTTTTTTAAAGGAATGTGTCAGCATGTCGACAGTTGGATATAATTTGATTCCATATAATTATTAGATTATTCAAATTTTTAAAATCTATGATTTATATTTAAACAAACATGAAAAGACCGGTTGATATACTGAAAGCTTTCAAAAACAGGACCAGGATAGATATTACAAAGTGAAATTCAAACAATACATTGCTTATATAAATATAAGCAGATACTGAAAAATTTTACAATATCTACTGGCTAATACTAGTTCTACTGTGAAAGACTGACATACACATACATATACATATATCCAAAGTGTATATAAATACATTTACAAACTTTTGGGGCGGGTTTCTCACAAAAAGCAAGGACAAAATCCGTATAAACATATGTCCGAATATCCTTCGTTTTTAAGTTAAGTTTAAAGAATGATTACGCTGTGTAGACCACTTTACATTTGTCATTCGTGTACATGTGTGGATAGTCTGTTTTCAATGTTTAGCGTATTTAGTAGTGAGTTAACTGAGAAATGTTCCATTTAACAATGGCCGGATATTCATATCGTTAATAGTCAGGTATAATTTTTACATACAGCCGCGCGAATGTTAATGGAAACGACACTGCACGGCTGTATCAGATTGCGTTTCCAGACCTAAGACAGTCGCATCATCCACCATTTCCTGCTGTTTATTCTCGCGTTGCTGAGACAGAATCCGTGGCACCACAAATTATGGATCGAGGAAGACCGAGATCCGCTCGTGCACCTGACCACGGAGAACGCATTCTAAAGGCTGTCGGTGACGATTCCGATATCAGTACACACCAAGTTGCCCTAGCATGACATACATCTCATAGTACTGGATGGGGTTAATCCAAAAACAGCTCATGTATCCGTATCATGTGCAGGGAATGTCGCCCTCTGATCACTCATCACGGGAGAACTATTGCACTAAGTGCCTTGTCTCTTCAGCCTTGTTTATGCATGAGGCAATATTTGGAAGAGATGGAATAACAAATTTACACAACAAGCATTTGTGGGTACAATACAATCTAGACACCAGCATCAGTTTACGATTAATGTGTGGGCTTGAATTGTAGGTGATTATCTGGTGCGTCCATATATTCTTCCAACAAGTCTTATAGGAGCTGTTGGCAAGGGGTTTATTTCGAACACACTTCCAGATCTGCTAGAGGATGTACCTCTGCTAATACAAAGACGCATATGATTCATGCATGATGGGACTCCAGCACATTTTAGGTACATTGTTCGCAATGTACTGGCGGACATCTATCATGAAAGATGAACATCAGTTTATATGAAGTTTTTTCCTTGTTCTGCTCTGAGGAAACCGCCCATAATGTTAGTAAAAGTATTTTTCTTACATCCTGTAGATATATAACAATTAACGTTTATATGCTATATATGAAAATAAAGAATAAACAAATAGTTTATACGTTATTTATTAAAATAAATAATAAATAATTAATGCTTATATGATGTATATGAAAATAAAAATAAAAAGTAGTGTTTATATGTTATATATGAAAATAAAAACTGAGCAATTGACCAACGATTGCACCACTTGTAATAAATTAATGATATAACATGGGATACATATTACCAAAAATCATCAGTTAAAATCCGGAAAGCACCTTTAACTCAACCTGGTATCTATCTATCTATCTATCTATCTATCTATCTATCTATCTATCTATCTATCTATCTCAGTCTGTCCATATCTGCCTATCTTAGTCTATACTTATCTATCTATCTCAGGATGTTCGTATCTAGCTAGCTAGCTATCTAGCTATACATCTCAGTCTATTTTTATCTATCTGCTACCTATTTCAGTCTGTTCATATCTATCTATCTATCTACCTATCTATCTACCTATCTATCTATATCTGTATATATCTATCTTTATAGGTATGTTTATATCTATCTCAATCTGATCGTATCTATCTCAGGCTATTCGTATCTATGTTCTGTATATTTTTTATATATTTATCTTAGTCTGTCTGTATCTACCTTAGTCTATACATATCTATCTATCTTTCTATCTATCTATCTATCTATCTATCTATCTATCTATCTATATATATATATATATATATATATATATATATATATATATGTGAGTGTGTGTGGGGGTGTCTGTGTGCGTAGATAGATAGATAGATAGATAGATATCAGTCTGTATCTAAGTCTATTCATATCTATCACAGGCAGTTCGTATCTATCTATCTATCTATCTATCTATCTATCTATCTATCTATCTATCTATCTATCTATCTTCTTTTTTCTTTTACTCGTTTTTCTTCTTCTATTCCATGCGTGCATGTATATTTTTTCACATCAGCTTTGATTTTGACAGATATATTGGCCTCTAAACAAGAATAATGATAATACATACATATATATATATATATATATATATATATATATATATATATATATATATATATATATATATTCTTCCTTTTCATTTTTGAATAACTTTATATTTAAACCCAATGCTCGATTTAATTTGAAATTTCTGATTTTTAATTTATAATTTTATCTTAAAGGTTAATTATTTTGACATTGATTTTTGGTTTAATCTAGGATTAACTTTAATCAACTAACGCTTTTATTTAGAATATACGGCCATGTTTTTTGAATGTTCATATACTTGTATTCTGATTAGTCATCATAGGTTACGTATTCAGGGGGTTTTATTTGGTTTTGAGTTTTCCAAAAAAACACTTTATTTCGCAATCAACACCATCATTTGATAAGACACTCGAAGTGTTGAAACAAAATGGCTATTTTTGTAGTGATGTTACAAGATATTCATGTTATAATTTTTGAATAAATACTATTTGCTCCACTTTGTATTGAGCACTATTTTAAGAATAGTTTCTTTGGTTATTGGAATTTTATTCCGTCTTCACCAATACTATTCTTGGATATATATATATATATATATATATATATATATATATATATATATATATATATATATATATATATTTTATTAAAGACATTTTATGTTTAACGTTCTTTTTTATAGATACAAGTATTTAAGTAAATGCTCTGTTTATAATAAACAGTATTAAATAACATTTACGGAGCATTTACTTAAATACTTGTATCTATAAAAAAGAACGTTAAACATAAATGTCTTTAATAAAATAAATTGTCGGACTTTGTCCATTTCTTAATATATATATATATATATATATATATATATATATATATATATATATATATATCCCCGTCCGTCGTATCCATCTATCTCAGTCGGTTCGTATCTATTTATCGCAATCTGTTCGTACCTATGTCAGTCAGTTCATATCGATCTCAGTCTGTTCATATCTATCTATCTATCTATCTATCTATCTATCTATCTCTGTTCATATCTATTTATTTCATTCTGTTCACATCTGTCTCAGTCTGTTCGTATCAATGTCAGTCAGTTCATATCTATCTCAGTCTGTTAATATCTATCTATCTATCTCTATTCATATCTATCTGTCTCTGTTTAATTACACTCTTTTTTATATTTTTGTTAATGCTAACATTCAACACTTACTTTATTTCTATTCCGCGCGTTAACCATGCATTGTAATTAATATAATTCTCATATTAGTAAAATGTTTTCCAATATCGGAGACGATTCAAATGTCTTTTTTTCATTATTATACACATAACTTCCAAATTAATTTTCTGAATAAACATTCAAGACATTCTGCTCACAGTTTCGGTGAGACGTTAACTCTTTCCACTCTCCTTTATATCTGTATGTGTTGTGGTAGGATCCACCTAATTTGCATAGTGGAGTACCGACCATATAAATATGGTTGGTACCGGGAAGAGAGGAAGGAATCAAGAGATTCAACCCGAGACTCTGCCCGACTGCGACTCAGTCAACACATTCTCCAGGAACGGTCTTACCAGGAATATACAAAAGACTATATGTAAATATTGTGTACACTTTCTTGTTTCAATACATTTTGTTCTAAGTACATTTTGTGTTGCATTATTATTCCATGCATTAGTCAAGTTTCAACAGTATCTTTGTGCAATTGAATGATAGCCGCATTTTAAACGTAAATATTCTCAAGAACCTTTATATATTTTCCGTTAATGTTTTACTGAATCAAATGCCTTTTCATAATCAGGAAAAGCCAGAGCAGTTGTTTATATACTGTTGTTTTTCATCAGTTAGTTGTTTGTAAATGGTGTGTTGTTGAATAATCTCTCTTGAAACCTATTTTTTTACTCAGGACTCATTTTTATTTTGGGTTTTTGTTGGTCTGTATTTTTTTTTTGATGATACGCCAGTTGTCAAAGTCTTTATAATGTCCTTTCTAATAAAGTAGAATTGGTATTCAGAGTCTGAATTTTTTGCGGTGTCTGTTCTTTTTCAATAAACACAGCGGAAATGGCTGTGTTAATCCTTTATTAAATTCTATTTCTACAGCTTTCAAAACGTCTGATACTATGCCATCTTCGTATGGCACTTTCCTCCGTTTTACATTCCATGACTTTATTGTCATTTTTCGAACCTTCGTCGTATAAACGGTATAAACCTATCTGCAAGAAAGACTGTTGGCTGTAGTTCGATTTTAAAGCATACATGTGCGCCATTGTTGGATACTAAATTTAAATACTAACTGCGCATCACCAAATTTTCACCACTATAACATGCAAAATTTATAAAACACAAAAAGCAGGCATTGGAAAATTTCGAGAATCTATTTTCTCATTCCAGTTACCTCCCTTGTCGGATGTAAAATAACATAAGCAATTTATAACTACTCAAATCAAAATTCCTTATTCGTTATTATTGTCGCCTTTTCATTACAATAATATAATATGTTTCTATTTCTCTAAACCGAAACTTCCTACAAATCGGTACATTTTTAATCTGAGGCTAATAGTTTGTGGGTCTGAACTAGAAATCATCGATTCATTTTCACACCGTGATTTCAGGTGTAATTTAACTGACACGTTAAACCGAATGTCTAACTGCAATTTATAATCAAATCTAAGAAATTAATTTCGACAAATTTTGACATTGATTATAATTAGACATGTAGCTATCACCTTTTTCTTACCTAATTTAGATACATCTGAGTAAAAACGTAAGAAACCACAAACAAGTTTAATGTATTATATCTACAGGGTGCCCAGTAAATAAGCGGAAAATTTTTTATCGGTGTTTTATCTACCACGAATAACTGACCTTGAATAACCTTGAAGAAATTTTTGAATATTCATGACCTTCAACAATCATTCGACTCTCGCATAATTAACGATAATTAACTACGATTGGATCTTTTTTTTATGATTGCTTAATTGTTGATCGATCTCGTGACGTCATTTGAAGGTTATTTGCAGGCAACTTTCGTCTTTCGTTCTGCCATTCTCGTATAGTTAAACAGCTCACTAATTTTGAGCGTCAAGTTATTGTACTTTTTAAAGAACCTTCCATGTAATGATTGGCGAAATGTGCAGAAATTCTTCATGAATTATTCAGTCACATCAGTCGTCACCAGTTTTCAACGATTGTCTCACGTCTTTCTGAAATTACCGCTTTTTTTTACTGGGCAGCCTGAATTATGTAAATTAGAGCAAAAATATATCATTTAGTTTCTTCGGTTTAAGAAAATTCATGGCAATTTCTTCTTTTATTTCAGTATATTGTTAGTACGAGACGACTCAGATTGACACTACTCCAAAGGAGACGGTTATACACTTCTTAGCCACGATCAAATTCCCTGTAATTCGGAGGAGCACTTCGTACATTATCTTAGAACTTCAAAACTATATTACGACGGAGTTGATACACTTTAACTGTACGACCTGTGTTTTTAGCGAAAAGGTTTGTGTGTGTGTGTGGCACCATGCATCCAGGCAGAGAAAGAAAGGCAGAAAGGGAAAAGAAAGAAAAGAAGAAAGGAAGGGAAAAGTGAGGCGAGATCCGAATCATAGGTGATAAGCGAACACACACACGGCTAAGAGGCAATAAAAAAAAAGGTTATTTTGATAAGTGGCAAATGGCGAAAGAGTGTCATTACAATGACAATGAGATTTGAGTGGGTAGGGAAGTGTTATCTAAGGATATGAAAACAAACTATTGGTACGGGAAGGCCTCTTATTATCAACACAGACCATCGACCAAGGGAAAAATTCAAGTGAAAATGTTATTTCGATAAGGGACGAAAAGAAACAGGCGACTAAAAAAGACTTTGGACAGATATGAAAATTAAAGGCCACCTACGAGTAATCGTTGACCGATTTTCCTACTTGGCCTGCGCGAATGGAATTGTGTTATCAAGAAATGTTCGCCAAAGTAAGTCCACTTGAAAACGTTAATTTTGATAATTGACAAAACACAGGTGTAGCTACAGAGCCTTAGTTAGAGATGGAAAATTAAAATCCCACACAAGCAGTCTCGCTAACTAAATTCCTTTCAACAAAACAACGTTGCCTGCGATAATAAATTTATGTTATCAGGAATATGTGCCGAAGGAAAATGGGTGGGAACCAGAAATGTTTTTCTTTCTTCCTTGGAGACGTCAGACTGACTGAAAACTTGGGGATAATTCTTTTTTGAGGCCATGTTAAGAATACCAACCATCTTGATAAATTAGCGATAAAATACCTGACGTAAGCCACGTGTAGAACAAGAATTATGACCCCATTGTTCATATTTTCCCGTTGGTGGCCAGAGAAATGATATGGCGATTATGGAAGAAAAGGAAAAGCAAAAGATAATTTTTTTTTAGTTAAGCAAGGTATTTTTTTTCCGAAACAAAGCCGCGGATTGTTCACGCCCGACTAAGACATCATTGGTCAAGTGGTGATTACGTGACGCACGAAGGAGGAGGAAAGATACCCGACCAAGACCTCATTGGCCGAGAGTGATCACGTGACGCATGAAGAATGCTGTCGACGCCCCCATCCAGAGTGTAAGTATGAGAATCTGCTACGAAGAAGTGGGGAGGGCAGTTCACGCCCCTTAGAAGTATGGTGAGAAAGTGGGAATGAGAAAAAGTTCCCAAAAATGGAAAAGAGTGGAAAATCCCTAACCAGAAATAAAAGAGGTGGATATGTATTTAGAATTATCGAGGAACCCCGGACGCCAACAGACCCACCCCGGTTTTGGTCGGCGTCAATAAAAGCCAGGCCCCAACAGGCAGAAATCAGTTCGGGCCCTGGCGGCAAAGATGAGTGTCCAGAAAGTTCGGGCCCTGGCGGCAGAGATGAGTGTCCAGAGAGTTCGAGCTCCAGTTTCCAGAGTTGAAGCCGCCTCGAGATAGCTGACCAAGATTCACGCAAAATTCCGGACTCCTCTTCAACCAAGAACAATTATTTTGAAGAGCGACTTAGGACCAGACCACCGAAATAAGTTTTTTTCGACTTTCGTCTAAAGACACACCGAAACACAAATTTCTTAGAGAGCAAACAACTTGAAGCGTTAAAACTTGCCTAGCGAAAACGACGTGTCACAATCCACAGAACGGGTCGGGAGATAGATGCAGTCCTATGTATCGAACAACTAGACATAAAGTTTGTTACCTTTTTCTTTGATACTTTGAACTTTTTGAGTTTTCATTTTCTTTTCTTTTATGCATATTTTTGTGTTATCACCCCCGTTGAACTCAATTTGCATTACGGCCCCAACCACTGTTTGATCTCGTCTGTCTAAGATCAATTCACAACGTGGGTAGGCAGACTGGAGATCAATGCAGTTACCTTGGTAACCAGGCGTTGGAAGCGAGTTGGGAACGACGAGGCTGATATCAAATCTAACCAGATTCCCACCCGAATCACCAAAAGGTTAGAACGTCACATTTGGGTGTCGCGACCGATACCAAGCCAGTTGGTCGTCACAGGACGAGACAACACGACTGACGCGACAGGCGGACGTCACGTTTGGAGCAGCGACACCCGGACGGAGCAGCGAGGAGCGAACAGCTGGCGCCGCGGCGAAGACGTCACAAGTGGTGCTGTTTGAGGACGTCACAACTGGCGCCGTGGTAGATCAGGATAGAACGTCACAGTTGGCGCTGCGACCGGGGGACGACGTCACGCCTTGTTCAAATTTAAATTTAATTTAAATCAAAGGGAAATAAATTTTCAGTCGAGGTTTTGTGCCCCCAGAACCCCCTTTGATCAAAATGAAATATACTTATCCAAGTACCCTGGGTAATGTAGTTTCAAAATATATATGGTTATGAGGGTCTATCTCCAAAACCCTAAGAGGAGTTCGATAACAAACAGATAGACAGAGGCTACAATTACAATAATATAGAAATTACAGCTGGGCTCTCCTAGGAGAACTAGGAGTCCTACCAGGATTTATTCTTGGGGAAGCAATCTTAAAAACGTAAGATACGCAGATGACAACGAGGCGAGACAAGACACAGAAAGAAAACTTCAGGAACTCCTAGACAGGATAGTAAAAGAAAATGAAAAGAAATGACTAGGCAATAAATGTCAGAAGAACGAATTTGTGGAATGGTCAGCAAGAGGCACTGCACAAGACATAAGATACGAATTGGAGACTTCAGAATAAAATGAGTAGAGAAATTGTCGACGGAATATTGTGCCACAGAAATCTGGAGGCACATGGAAATCGCGAAAGTTGCTTTTCAAGAGCAATACAAAATATTAATGGAAAAGATTTTGTTAGGAACGAAGAAAGTAGTGCTATGTGACAAGAATGCGGCACAATTTCCTTACAGACAAAGAGAAGATATGAGGCAACAAGAGATGTTAGGCAACAAGAGATGTGAGGCAACAGAAGTGTGAAATAACAGAGATATAAGGCAACGGAGATGTTAGGCAAAAGAAATATAAGGCAACAGAGATATGAGGTAAATGGGTGTGATGCAAAAACATATGAAACTACGAAGATATGAAGCGACAGAGATGTGAGGTAACAGGAATATGAAGCATCCTAAATATGGGGCGACATATATGTGAGACAAAAGATATCAGGTAACAGAGATATGAAGCAACAGAGATATAAGGCGATAGGAATGTGGGGTAACAGGGATGTGAAGCAAAATTATATGAAATTACGGAGATATGAAGCAATAGATATATGAGACAACAGTGATAGGAAGCAACGTAAATATGAGGCAACTGATATGTGAAGCGAGAGATACGAGGTAATGGAGATATGAAGCAACAGAGATGTGAAGTAACAGGGAATGGGAAGCAAAACATATATGAAGCTACGGTGATACGAAGCAAGAGAGATATGAGAGAACAGAGATAGAAGGTAAAATGGATGAGAAGCAACGTAAATATGAAGCAAGAGATATGTGAAGCAAGAGATATCAGGTAAGAAATGTGAGGCAATAGAGATATGACAACAGATATGTGAGGTAACAGGAATGAAAGGCAAAAGATATATGAAGTTACGGAGTTATGAAGCAACAGATATATGCGGCAACTTTGATATGAAGCAAAATAAATATGACGCAACAGATATGTGAAGCAAGGGATATCTGGTAAATGAGATATAAGGCAATTGAGATGTCAGGTAGTAGGGATGTGAGGCAAAAGATATTTGAAACTATGGAGATATGAAGCAATAGAGATATGAGGCAACAGGTCTCTGTTGTCTCACATCACTGCTGATTCATATCTCTCTTACCTAATATCTCTTGCTTCACATATCTGTTGCCTAATATTTAAGTTGCTTCATGTCCTTGTTGTCTCACATCACTTCTGATTCATATCTCTCTTACTTAATATCTCTTGCTTCACATATCTGGTATCAAGGATGTGAGGTAACAAGAATGAGAAGCAATCAATATATGAAATTACGGAGATGTGAAGCAACAGAGATATGAGTTAACAGTGATAAGAAACAACCTAAATATTAGGCAATATATATGTGAAGCAAGAGATATGAGGTAACAGAGATATGATGGAACTGATACAATGCAACAGAGATGTGAGTCAATAGAGATACGCAGTAACAGAGATGGGGTTCTGCAGAAGGATGATGTTTCTAATATCCTTCATTTGTCATTCATTTCTTCACGTATCGTCGCGCGTCTTTGTAATTAGGCATGGACTCACGGTAAAAAAGTATGAATAATATTGAATTTTCGCAATCGTCAAACATTTACATTTACGATTTTTTCGTCGTTTTCGTTGTCGCAAATGCCTGAGCGGGCGATGTGATTTGCCGGGCCGATGGTACTTGTGACAGAAATTCCTTCACATGGTGTATTTTCTTAACCGATACTTATTGGGCCACCTCACCTCGAGATGGTGTAATGGTTAGCAAGCTTGTCTCGCTGGAACTATTACGAAGGAGTAGTGAGTTCGATCCTCACTGGGTGCCCCTTACTTTCGGCCTTGTGCCACATCCAAGCTACACTTGGAAAATCCCTACTTATTAGGCGACCTGTGAATATGCGGCATTGTGGTGTGTTCAGGATTGAGAGGTGATGGATTAGTTCTTGTGGTGGATGTTTAATTGTAATGAATGAATGCGTCGTGATTCGGCTTAAGTTGGACTAGGATAGCTAAGGAAGGCCAGCCCACTCCTCCCCCCCACCTTCGTCTATGTGCTACAATTTTGTAAATATTACAAAATAAATACTTTCTCTCGGCCGACACACTAACGCTAGTGGCAGTTCGACTGTCAATCGATCAGGTGCCTGACTTCTACCGAGCTCGTCTTTTACGGATCGCAAAGCACGCTGGACGCACGTGACCTATATGCCTGAATACTCCAGTTCCAGCGTGTATTCGCTTTCTCTCAAATCGAAGTCCTGCATTCTAAAAACGAACTCTCTTTCGCCGAGAATAAGATAAGGTAAGTGCCCACTTCCAAAAGTTCTTTTCTAAGCCATATTATTTTTAGAATAGCGAGGAGAGTTTGTAAGTTTCACGAATAAATTATCATTTTGATTTGTGTCAATTTGAATTAATTTTCAGAATCTGCATCAAATCAGTTTTTCTATTCTAAACGATCAATTTTATTTAAAAGTGAAATTTGTAATAAATAAAAATTTGAGTTTGGAATAAGAATGGTGAGTGGATTTTATTCAGATTAATAAGTAGAATAGGGTTACGATTCTGACATATCCGGGCCTATGTATGAATCATGGAAAGTTATGCTAATGAAGGTTGTATCGTCCCCTTCATAGTATTTCAGCGGGCAAAATAAGTTAATTGGAAGTTCTTATTTCCTTTTCAAATAACTCCATACTTTTCATTGTATGAACAGATCATTTGTCGCTAGTGATGAATAGAAATAACACAAAAGGAAAATGATCGATTCCTTGTACCGCTCCAGAAAGTACTCCACTCCTCCTGCCACGCTCTATCTTTAGTCAGATCCGATTAAAAATGGAATATTGCTTCCATATCTGAACTGGAGCTGACCAATTCTAACGTTCCATCTGTAACAGAGTCCCAAATCGTTTACTCAGCCTCGTGGGTGATATCTCGCCTGAATATTTTCCCGCTCTGTAGCCCCTTTCACACAGATTCAATATCACAAGCCTATCGTTACTCTATCACTCTGGCAAATGATCAGACAAGCTCTATTCTTTAGTGTCACCAGCTCAGACCCTTGCAACCAAACCCACCTTACCAGATCCACAGATTCGCGTTATACCCTATATGTCCCTTTGGTAAGAAGAAGCCTCTTCCCATGAGCCACTACTTTGAAGAACAGACTCCCGACTGAATACTTCCTTCAACACAACAATCTGAGCCTCTTCAATCGTTATCTATCCTCCATATCCTCGTAATCTTCACTTTATCCTCTTAGGTTCATACCACACGCCTCACTCTACCATGAGTGGCTCTTGAGCCTTTTATTGGTAAAAAAAAAACGAGAATTAGATTCGAGAAATTCCTAATGGTATCAGCACGCGTTTAACATTTTTGAGACCCTTCTTGTTGAACCCATTCCAGAATGTGGATCGCTTTCAAAAAGTTTCCAGGCGAAGTCTGAAGTATCAATATCAACATTTCATCTCGTCTCATCCAAGCATACCGAAAGTAACCTTAATTACACTCGATTAATTTCCGCGCAAGAATAATCAAATATCAAATTGAAACTGATCCATGTTTACTTTGAACGCGTGGGTCTCGCGAAACACGAGCTCAGATGTTCTCATTACCGACTGAGTAACCCAAGAGGAACATAATTTTTTAATACTAATATTCACCCAATACAAGCCCCAAAAGTCACTCAAGGTAGATGGTTACTGTGTAGTGTTGAATGAGCGTAAGAAAAGGTAAGAAATCAAGATCGTAGGGTTATGCGGCTAATATAAGGATTAACTCTATACTTGAAAAGGTGAAGATTGTAGAGATCGGGAGTCTTTTCACAAAGCAGCCATTCTTTGAAAGAAGCTGTCCGAGTGGAACTTACTTCTTACGAAGGAAATACGAATGGAATGGGGATGATTCACTCTTATCTACATGGATCACCGGGTCTCAGTTGTAAAGGTCAGTGTTGGTGGGACTAAGGGATGCATCTCGTCAGAACACTTTCCAAGGAAATAGCGATAGAGCAACGAGAAACTCGCGAGATTTCGTCGGCGGGAAAGACGTCGTAGGCTTGAAAATAATTAGTCAACCAGCAGTGCATTTATCTTATGTTTTGCGTCCCCCACCTTGCAATTCCGATTTCAGCTGCCCATCTTGAAAAAGTTCAAAAGCATTGTAGGCAGTGAATTATTTTCCACCCTCCAACTTCTTTCCCACAGACGAAACGTCGCAGACCTATTGCTATCGCCATGGAGAATGTTCTGATGAGCTACATATTCTAGTTCCATCATTTCAGGCCTTTACAGCTAAAGCTCGCTGTATCATGCACACGGGCAAATCATCCTCATTCTCTTCGTATTCCATTATTAAGGAGTAAGTTTCATTCGGTAGCTTGTTTCCAAGAGCCGTTAATTTATAAAACATACTCCCGTGAGGGTGTTTCTTCGATCACTACACTCTTTACATCTTCAAATCTAGAATCAACTGTTATCTATCTTACATACCCTTATAATCTACGCTATACATCCTCCCTTTACGTCCATACAACAACCTCATTGACAGGCTCTTGGTCCTTGTATTGGGTAACATTTTGTAAAAATAAAAATGTGGCAATATATACACTATTCGGACTCTTATCTTTGTTGTCATATCCGCGACGTTTTGGCCACTGTACGCTCCCGTCTTCTTCACTTGATTACAATTTCGAACTGGACCCTTTATTTCGTCCACCGGGGTAGATTGTTCTAGTTCCACGTGCCATGCCTCTTCCGTATACCATAGTATCAGTTATTTCTCTGTAACCCAACTTTCCAAGATTTTGTTCACATCTGCTGTAGGTATTGAACTCATAACTCTTTGGTTCAAGTCAAGACATTACCACTTTTTAACGCTTTTATCCACTGGACCATGAGTCTTTAAGAGGCAACAAAGATGAGGATAACAGTCTGAACATTGAAAATAGTGTAAATAATTACAGTCCCCGTAGCTGATGAACCCATGAGTAAATAGTCCAAAATCGGAGAGCTCCACGCTGACTTGGCTTGCCGTGACAAGCCATTGTACTAAAGGAGTCCATTATTTTCATTCGCAACTCGAAGTAAAGGGGGTGGTTAGTTCCTTTCTTCGGAACGACATTCAAGTAACCGTATTTTCCGGTTTACAAGACGCACTTTTTCCCTAAAAAATACCCAAAAAAATACGTGTGCATCTTCCAAGACAAAATTGTAAGGCAACGCCCAGACTCACTCAAGTAAGCTTGGACGGTCACCTAATCGGCTTCACTGATAGGGACGGAGATTTGTATATTGAGTCATTACACTGTAATGTTAGCTATCTGTCTAATTCAGACTGTTATATGATGTAACCTCATTACTTAGCTGTTAAAAGTATTTCCAAGACTATAAACCTTCCTGGAGCTGGTCCACAAGCTAAAACACGCTCTGCTTACTAGCAGCAGCGGGGGCCTTTCTGCTCTTGACTTGTATGTCATTGTCATACAAACAAAATCGGACGAGTGATTAATGTAAACAATACGTAGCGCCAGTATGTGAGGGACGCATGGTGAATGTGTTGTTGTATGAGAATTACCATTTTTTTTTCTTAGAGATTTCTTTCCAATATTAGTGTGCGTCTTCCACGCCGCAGCGTTTTGTAAGCCAGAAAATACGGTACCTTCTAGCCTTTACTAGAAGAGGTAGGTGCTACATTGGTTGCCACTCAAGCCTATAGGACTCAATCTGTCCACCTATTTATCCATAGCTGGAGGAAGAGATCCGAATATTAGTTTCCGAATGTAGTGAACCCAACTGAAATTCGAACTCGGCTTTCCAATTCCTCAATCCGAATCGCTATCCATTACTCCACCGTACCTTCTATTTCTTATACCCGGATTAAATAATATGGTATGCCGTTCAAAATGTTTTCCCCAAAATTGAAAGCTTGTGTCCTTGATATTATTACCATTGCACTTCAGTCTTTGTCAAGGTCCTCAAATTTGTTTGCAGGTTGAATCAAGACCGCACATCCAGTTTTCCAGATATTCAAAATGTGTGAATAGTTCCTAGAAAGATCTTGTATGACCACAAGACATTCTTTATGCTTGTGCGTTTAAATGTGTGTTAAGAAATCAATTTGTGTCCTATCACTTGTATGAAATGAGGTGGACTTACTTTCCAACAGGAATGATTAAAAGTGAGTGGACATTTCAAAGTGAAATCCCTCGTGATCAATGACAGGTTCTTAAGTGTGACACAACAACGTCTTCTACCCACCCCCCTCCGAGAATAGTACCTTATTTTCTCTGGTGCTTAATTCTGTTAGTCAACCCCGGGGGCTATTAAGGATAAAAATTGATGGCAGGAAGTACAGGACGCTAATAGAATTAAAAAAAGAAAAGAGAAAGAAAAGAGAGGCTTCATTAAATACTAAGATAAGGAAATCCTCAACTAGTAACGAACAAACTGTGAGGAAATGAAAAAGAAATATACGAAGAAAAAGAATGAAAGAAGAAAAGGAATGAAAGAAGAAAAGAAGAAAAATAGAAAATAAAAATGAAAATAATATAAACAAAAATATAAAAAAAATGGAAATCAAAAACTTAATAAACAGAACAAAAACACAGAAATAAGAAATTAAAAAAATAAATTTCCAATGTTATTTTCAGGAATATAGGGTGTCATCACTACTTCAGAGATTGGCGCTACATAATCTTACTACTAATAACTACTACTATCCCTAAATTCTTTGTTATTGTTTTGATGTCCAGATGATGTACAATGGTTAGCAGCTTGGTAAGGGATAATCAGCGAGTCGAATTTGAATTCTGAACGTCCTATTCGCAAAAATATTCTTAGAAAAGGTATGGAATCCAGTTATGGGTTAAATAGTGGTGTTCTATAGATAAGTCCATAGTTAAAAAAGTTATATATTTTTTTTTACTATAGCCTTTGATCGACGTAAGTAATGCAGAAGTTTTGAATTAAGTGCATTGGCGAGGAGGACATTAGGCAGAATAAGTATTTGCTGTGTAAAATAAATGTTTTTATACATTAGGCTATGGAATTATTGATGTACTCATCTTTTGAGGATATTGGCTTAATATTCCTGTCACGATTTCAGTTTTAGTTTAAGTCGAACTAACTTAGGCTAACTAAATAATCAGCGAGTCGAATTCATTACGTCCTATTCGCAAAAATATTCTGAGAAAAGTTATGGAATCCAGCTATGGGTTAAATAGTGGTGTTCTTTATGTTATTTATATATATATATATATATATATATATATATATATATATATTAAAAATTTTATGTTTAACATTCTTTTTATAGATACAGCTGATAATACGTTTTTTTTTAAATTAACGTTGTAAGAACAGTATTTTATAAAAAGGACTTTCTGATATAGATTAAAATACCAAAACGATTTTTAAATCTTTCTATTGTCATATTAATTATACTTAACCAAATTTTACTTTAAAATATGAATGAGAATACTTACATACATTTTAAGCTTTCGTATTATTTTTTAGCATAAAGCGTTATTAAAGAGAAAAATAATTCAAATAATATAACGAATAAATTTAAAAAAGATAAATACGTGGTGAAATCAATATAGAAATAAAAGTAAAATAACATTAAAATTAATATTAAGCTTCAAATTTCAACATTTTTTTTTCAAACTTTATTTACTTTCATTCCTCTTATTTCTCTTCTCTCTCTCGCTGTTACTAATCATTTAGCTTCCTTTCTTTCTCCAGAGGTAAATTCATTTTTACCTTTTATGGGAAACTTTCCAATGACGGAAGTGGAAGATGTGCTTTGTTAACTGCATTCCGGAATAAAATATTTTAGTAGCATCTCAGCTGATAATACGTTTTTTTTTAAATTAACGTTGAAACAAGATGAACAGTTTTGTAGTGGGTATGTGCATGTTCTAACGTAACACTGCATAATAAATAAATATTTATTGCTCTACTTTTGTGCTGAGCCCGGTTTATATTAATGTTTTGAACGCTGAAATCTTTCTCTTCGTTCTTTTAACTTTGTATATATATATATATCTATATATATATATATATATATATATATATATATATATATATATATATATATATATTAAGAAATTTTATGTTTAACATTCTTTTTATAGATGGTATTTATCAATCCACCCACGGGGACCGAATGTGGCACAAGGCCTTTTAATGTGGGTATGTCCGAGCCCGTAGGCCCAGCCAAAAATAAAACCCATCTAAACCCGTCCAAGCGGGCTAGTTCCGTCAACCTCCCTGAACGAAACCCCACCCTTAGGCGGAGCCTCGTCCGGGTTCCCCTCTGCAAGCAGAGAGTTCGACAGACACCCGACCCGGCAGCTCACAAAGCGCAGATACTACACTTTGATCCTAGCCACCGGGCCGAGCGGGTATTCTTTTTAGGGATAGATATTTATTTCGTATAAAGATACAAAATTGTGGCACAAGGCCGAAAAGGGGGAGGGGGTAAAAGGCTGGTCTTCACTAACTATCTTATACCTAGCTAATTTCATTCGCGACCCGTTCATACATTACAATTTACTCATTCACCATAAGAACTCGTCCGTCGCCAATCGATCCTCCGTGCACCATAATACCGCATCCACTCTAGGGAGACCTACAAAAAACGCGCCCCTTGTTTCATCATAATTTAATGACCCTAACGAATATGTACAGAAAAATTCTAAGATGAAAAATGAAGAGGGGTGGGGTGAGATGAACCCAATTACGAACTGAAATATTAACATAATTAAAATTAAACTTTAACTGATGTTAGTAGGGCCCGTCCAACCCTAAAAATGTAGGGAGGCCACTGTATTCTGCCCATGAGACAAAATCAAGCAGCTCTCTCTCGCTAAGGGAATGGGGAAAGGTGATAAAAAAATCATAAGGGCATGGGAAAATGTAAGACTGACCCAGTCGAGATAGAAAATTGGGGGCCAAAAAACAAACTGGGGAGGTTGGGAATCTCGGGCTGGATCATAACTAAAAGATGTGGTCCGGGAGCAACACTTACTCGCATTAACTAGGTACACCAAAGCTTGTCTAACCTAACCAAGGGGAGGGCACCACAGGAAGCCACCCCGATGTAGCGTAGGCTTGACCTAAAACAGAAAATCAAGGCTAGCCCCGTTCACACGAACCAAGCTCGCCCACCTTTCGCTGAAGACTGTCGAATGCAAGCGTTTTCTATCAGTTCTGATCTTCATCTTGAGCTGATGCTCAAAGAATCGATTCAGATCCTGATGAGAAAGACGGATACCTCGCAAGACTTCCTCCTGTCGCGTCGTCCATATCACCATTCGGGCCGTGGCTAGCAGCGTGAGAAACACCATCCGTTTCACCCCGGAGTACGGGGGCGACACATTGTCACACGCGTATGCGCGATCCATGGGCACGAGCTTTTCGGGAGCGAGACGAGCCGTCAGCCCCGCCGACATGGTCCCATAAGGGGCGGACCCGGGGGCAATGGAAGAAGGCGTGCGAACCCGTTTCCTTCAGACCAAGGCCACACCGATCGCAGTCTGGCAAATCCGCCAAGCCCCATATGAAGGCCAGGTCGTTGAGAGGCAGCCGATTCCGAGCCAGTCGCCAGGTAAGCGAAAACTCAGGGTTACTGAGGTAATCCGCCGCTGGCGCCCAAGACCAGTGAGAGCGAAGCTCATCCTCTGACATGTCGAGATCCTTGCGTAGGGGATCCTTCGCGACCCTCTCCACTAGCGAACGATAGAATACCTTCCCTAGGCCGAGAAATGTCACTGGACCGAGGACGGCCACCAGGGCCAACCGACACTCGCGAACGAAATCCGATTCCTCCGGGGCCTACGATGGCGCTCGGCCCGCGAGATGGGTGGACTGATAGTGAGGCTAAGGAAGGCGGCCCTAACAATCCCGTCATGACCGAATCACTTGTCAATGCGCGGCGTAGGAAAGCCAACCTCGAGGCATGTTTATGACTCAGCAGGTGTGGCATTCCCAGCCCCCCATGACACGGACGTTGTGCACAGACTTCTCTGTCGACCCGATTCCCGCGTAGCCTCCACAGAATGGAGGTCAGCGAGCTCTCCAGCGGTTTCCTGCGGTCGTCACAGAGAGAAAGTACGGACAATCGATAAAGGACAAGAGGGAAAATGTATGTAGCACACACCTCCGCCCTGCCATTCACGGACAACCTCCGTCGAGCCCAAATCTTACCGGCGGATTCGACCTTTGCTCGTACTTCAGACCAATTCCTCTCCAGCTGGAGGTCGGGTCATAAACAACCGAGAATTCTTTTTAGGGATACAAATATTTAAGTAAATGCTCTGTTTATAATAAACAATATTAAACAACATTTACCGACCTGAATGTCGAGAAATTTTCACAGAAAATATTTAAATATTTTTTATATATATATATATATATATATATATATATATATATATAAAATAACGATATAACTTCTTCGTAATTAATTATACGTTCTTTCTTTCTTTTTTCTTCATTCTCTATTATATGTTCTCTACTTCTTTCTTTCTTCGTTCTCAGTTATACATTCTTTTTCTTTTTCATTTTTTATTATACGTTCTTTCTTTCTTTCTTTCTTTCTTTCTTTCCCTCTTCTTTTCTCCATTCTTTATCTTTCTTTCTTTCCCTCTTCTTTTCTCCATTCTTTATCTTTCTTTCTTTCTTTCTTTCTTTCTTTCTTTCTTTTCTTTCCTCTTCTTTTTCATTCTTTTCTTTCTTTCTTTCTTTCTTTCTTTCTTTCTTTCTTTTCCATTCTTTTTTCCATTCTTTTCTTTCTTTCTTTCTTTCTTTCTTTCTTTCTTTCTTTCTTTTCTCCATTCTTTCTTTCTTTCTTTCTTTCTTTCTTTCTTTCCCTCTTCTTTTCTCCATTCTTTATCTTTTTTTCTTTCTTTCTTTCTTTCTTTCTTTCTTTTCTCCATTCTTTATCTTTCTTTCTTTCTTTCTTTCTTTCTTTCTTTCTTTCTTTCCCTCTTCTTTTCTCCATTCTTTATCTTTCTTTCTTTCTTTCTTTCTTTCTTTCTTTCTTTCTTTCCCTCTTCTTTTCTCCATTCTTTATCTTTCTTTCTTTCTTTCTTTCTTTCTTTCTTTCTTTCTTTCTTTCTTTCTCCATTCTTTATCTTTCTTTCTTTCCTTCTTTCTTTCTTTCTTTCTTTCTTTCTTTCCGTCTTCTTTTCTCCATTCTTTATCTTTCTTTCTTTCTTTCTTTCTTTCTTTCTTTCTTTCTTCTTTTCTCCATTCTTTATCTTTCTTTCTTTCTCTCTTTCTTTCTTTCTTTCTTTCTTTCTTTCTTTCTTTCTTTCTTTCTTTCTTTCTTTCTTTCCCTCTTCTTTTCTCCATTCTTTATCTTTCTTTCTTTCTTTCTTTCTTTCTTCTTTTCTCCATTCTTTATCTTTCTTTCTTTCTTTCTTTCTTTCTTTCTTTCTTTCTTCATTCTCTATTATACGTTCTTCTTTCTTTCTTTTTTATTCATTCTTTATTATACGTTCTTTACTTCTTTCTTTCTTTCTCCATTCTTTATCTGTTTCTTTCTTTCTTTCTTTCTTTCTTTCTTCATTCTCTATTATACGTTCTTCTTTCTTTCTTTTTTATTCATTCTTTATTATACGTTCTTTATTTCTTTCTTTCTTTCTCCATTCTTAATCTATGTTTCTTTCTTTCTTTCTTTCTTTCCTTCTTCCTTTCTCCATTCTTTATCTATGTTTCTTTCTTTCTTATACGTTCTTTAATTCTTTCTTTCTTCATTATCTATTATGCGATCTTTCCTTTTTTTAAAATACTTTCTTTAATTTTGTAAATTTCTTTCTTTCTTTACCTTTTCTAATCTCTCTTTTTTTAATATCTTTTTCTCTATCTACTTCTCTCTCTTACCTCTTCACATATCTTTACACAATGGCAACACCACATTTTTACTCTAAAACCTCCTTCTCTGCCTAACTGCAAAAAGTAATTTCTCTCTCTAAAAAAAAAAAAAAAAATAGAAGAGGAAATCCCCGCTAGACAAGAATCTTGTCTGAAAGAGAGATTACGAAACTCTTGTAAGACATTACATCATCAAGCGATCTTTAAAGTCGATTTTAAACGAGGCAAAAGATGAATTGTTATCAGTGATAAGTTGGTCCGAACAGAAGCAAGTTTATTTCAACGTCTAATTCTGTCGCCTTCAGGAAGGTATTGTGGCGGCCGAAGAAAATCGGATTAATTTTTACGCCTTTGGATCAAACTCTTTCGCGCTGGGTAAACATTGGTCTCCAATAATAAATATAGAAACTGCAGTTGTGGTTAAAATATTGGCGGGCGATAATGAGTAACTTTTCCGTTTTCTATAAAGACCCAATGATTTGTCACACGGCTTTGGCATGAATATATACAATATACACCCGACGTTTTAATAACTGAAAGTAGTGAAGAGAAACCAAATTTAATGTTCAGGTGAAGGCCCTTTTAGACAAACCTTCTGCCTCTTAACAAAACGCGATAAAAAATTTCAACACGTGAAAAATAAATGAATTCCACGCACAAACGCACACACGCACGTAAATATATTGATCTCAGAAAAACCCAAAAATTAATTTAAGAAAAACCCAAAAATTTTGGTGGAAATAGCAGATCACTTGCCAAAAGATCTAAGACTAAAGGCAAAAACCTACCTACTCAGTAAAG